TAGGGCGAGGCAATTGCAGAGATAATGTTCGATGCTCTCCACCTGTTCCTCGTCTCTGCAACTGCGGAAAAAAAAAATGTTACTGGGGTATCCCACCCTTTTTTGTGCGTGCCCATCAGGCAGTTTCCGGTGATTACCCCAACTACTAATCTGAGAGTAGGCTGAGCCAGTCGAGTGAGAGCTATGGATCGCTTTACATAAATTCTTGGCCAAGTATGTCCGGTTGTACGGCAGGTGGTTTCCACAGCCGGCCTGGTATTTATCTCCTCGATGAGTTCCGCCTTTAGGCTGTGTGCTACATAAGGCTAGAGTTATGCCGGCATGCTGAGTAGAATTTACTTCGGTTCATTCCGTCCATCTTTTTGCCTCTGCAGTTGCCAGGAATTTCCCTGCGTCCAGAGACCCATACAGTACACATGGATAATTTTAATGACGTCAGGTTCTGCATAATATGTCTACTTTGGATGTTGTTCCATTAAATTTTACATATTTAATAAGAGCGGAGGTTACTGAGCGTCGTCTAGCTCTGCTTGCAAAACGCTATAATGATTCGGTAAGTGGAAACTGAAATGTAGTACGAATTTAGCAGAATAAATTTCGCTGGTCAACCTTTCGTTAAGCTTGCAACCATCTCTATATATAGCCGTCGACCCTGGTTCTAAGTCTGTGGCACCCTTTCATTCGTTTCGCTCTGGAATTCTTATGGAGAATTTGTTGTCTAAACTGAGTAGAGGAGTGCTATAATCTAGTTGTCGTAGGACCTTTGGTCGAACTACAGACGGCCCGAAATTTGCCTTAGAAGAATCGGAGGGTGAAGTGGGTATTGCTCCCGTGATGAGCATGGAAGCCGTCCTCTGTACTCGTTCAACCTTGGATCTGGACAAAGTATTGTTCAGCGTAGGCCACCATACCGCGATCGCGTAAAAAAGATGGGCCTTATTACAGCCGTGTACATCCAAGGTACTATATGTATATGCGGTCTTCGATATTTCGTTTCCAGTCAAGTTGCTTGTCTAGAATAATTCCAAGGTATTTGGCCTCGGTTGAGAGTGTATGCTCTACCCCCTTTAAGAAGGGAAGTTTGAATAAATGTGTTTTATGTTTGCTTGTGAAGAGTACCATATTGGTCTTAGTAGGATAGACGCTAAGTCCACATTCCTTAGACCAGATGTTTGCAACACTCATTGTATTTTGTAATACCTAACGTAGCTACGATTGCTAAGTCATCAGCATAAGCTATGCCTTCATAACATAGCTCAGATGTAGTTAACGGTTAGATGCGATAGCAGAGAGGAGAAAGCGCGCTCACCACCAAGTCCACCATAGTTATGGAATTAACCAAAGACTGCGGGAAATATTCAGTCAAGCCCCGGAAATTTGTAGGATTGGAAGGACATTACAGCCCATTCCCATTCCATCATAACTTACGGTGTCACCTAGGGATGAGTGAGACCGTCTGAAGTGTCGGAGGTGCCGTCAGAGCAACCCGGGAAGTAAGTGCTCGTGAGGAATTCCCGCATTTCGTTACATGATGGTGTCCAGTCATCGTTAAGCTTCTAGATAGAGTTTATCCTAGAAGAAGATTTCGAAAGAACTTTTTTCAGCCTGTTGGCTTCTCACTTTTTTTCTATGTTGTTGCAGAAGTTTTGCCAAGATTCGCGTCTCGACCTCTTTATGGCATTCTTAAAAATTTGAGTGTATCCTTGTAGAGTTGCCAAAAACTCGTCCTCTTTGCATGGTTGAAAACCCTTCTGGTATGCTGAAATCTCAGCGTTCCACCATTGGGGGCCCTGCGGGAGGGTGAGTCGGCAGGAGACCCAGAAAGTAGCATTAGAAGCATTTATCACAAATTTCACTGCTTTATAAATTTTTGACGTTGAGTCCAGATAACTGAGAAAATGGTTAAATGAGATTTTTTTTTTACCCATAATGGGGAAGTACCCCATACATCTACGATGTCCTGGATGGTCTCGTTGTTGTTGACCGCAAGACATATATGTATGTACATTTTAAGCCCGCCCCAGGATTTGAGCACCTGGTATCCCATATTACCTGCCTATTCTCTACTGCTATGCCTCTTATTTGGCACCCGACGACCCAGGGGTTTAACACGCACTGAGAGCTTGGTTACTGAGAGCTTCCTAAGACTGATCGTCTATGCCGATCGTCACCAGTTTACCTGAATTTTCATATCTGCTTCTGAATACTTTCCTTGCAACGTATTCGCAAAAAAGACAATCAAATAGCAGGACTGCAGTATCCCCCTCTTAATTGAGTATGAGAAAGTATTCAACTTTTGGTTTAATTATCCGGGGTAACCCATTAAGCGGGGTACTTTGAGTTGAAATTTTTTGAACAAATCAGCGGGAAACCCATAAAAACTCCCTCATCAAAATTTCAGCCGGTAAATGTGATTAGTAATTGTATTTTACAATTTTGCATATATAAATATTTCCAAGAGGGTATCCAACAACTTTTATATCTTTCACCCAGATGCTATCACATTCACTCAACATTTCTTTGTCTTAATTTGCGAGCTTTGTAGCAGTGGCCGATTGTTGTTAGTTGCCATTTTTTTTTGTCTTTTTGCCACATTTAATGCAATCGCAATGTAAAATCGATGTTTGACTCTTAAATTAGATAGATTACTGTAGTTGTTGCTATTGTTGCAATTTAGTTAGTTTGTTGCTCATATTTCGTTTGCTAGATAGAGGATAGATAGACTTTTGATTGTTAGCTGAGCTGAAAATTGTTAGTTGTTGGCACTGTTCGCAGCATTGCTTGTTGTTTTTGTTTTATTGCTGTTGTTGCAATTACTGTTGTTACTCTTGCTCTAGCTGCTAATGTGGCGGCGCGCCGACCACATCGGCGACTATCGCTTGTGGTTATTTGTGTGTGCCCATTGTGGTAAACAGGTAAATACTCGTCGTACTCGATGACTTGTACCGTTCATTTGGTAACTTACCTACTGTCTTAACATATTTGTTGGCGTTATTGTTTTTCCAATTTTTTGTGTGTTTCGGCTTTTTAACATTCGCTTCTGGCACTATTATATTTAGCTTTGATTTTCTTACCATGTAACAGCTCTGGTGTGTTGTTGTTTGTGTTACGTGTGCTCTTTTTTCTGTATTTTGTTTTTGTAGTGTTCCAGTTAGCGCGGTGTAATTGATCTTTAATTTTTGCTATAGGAAATATCAACAGCTATCTACATGTGTATGTATTAAGTACAAAGTATGTAGACGAACGTTATGCCATGGTAATATTTTGAGTATCTTTTGTAATCAGGTGAAAGGGGGCACATCGTCACAAAGCCGAACACCGTTACCATTGAGTGATTGTTGTTTTTTTGCGCATACGATTGGGGTTAATATCATTTAATTGTATACATACAAACATATACATACATCGATTTATGAATATGTATGATCTGATGTTTTGAACTCATTTAACGGTTAATTCTTGCATAACCAGATTGATGTTAGTTTAGAATCCACGTCGGATACCGTTTTGGCTTGTAGTTAATGTCGCTTGGTCCCTTAGAATCAGTTGGTTGGACTTATAAACAGGGCTTCGGAGCGGAACGGAGCAAAGGAGCAGGGAGCTAATGAGCAAAGGATTTTAGCTGGAGCGGAGCTGGAGCAAAGAGTTAAACAAATAAATTTGCTCTTAAGCTCCATAAAAGAAATTTTCAATATTGTGTTTTGTTATTTTCTGGCCTAGTAACGATTTATTTTGAAATATTTTTGCTTTTCCAAAACATTTTCAGTAATAATTACAAAAAAAATGTTCAGTTAATAAATTTACTTAAATTATTGTTTTTTTGCCACTGAAAAATTCGTGCTAAATAAATTTCCATAATATTTAACTAAATTGGAATTTTGTTTAGTTTTCTTTTGGACGCAGAAGTGTATACATATATGTATCTAGAAGCATTTCTGTATCAAAAAGAAAATTTTCAAAAAAATGTCGCCTACGGCTTTGGCGGTTTGTGCTCGATATATAAGTAAAAAAATAAATAAAAAAGTTTTTTATTGGGAGCGGGAGTGGAGCAAGAGCGGAGCTCGGAGCGAAACGAAATATCGGAGCGGAGCTAGAGCGGAGCACTGAAAAAAAACCTTTGCCCCGAAGCCCTGCTTATAAAGCTCTCATAAAATCCCAGTCGCAACTCGTACTTGCATCGCGATTTAAATCATATCTGCTGTGATCGACTTGAGTGTTCTGAGGATGCCATTGATTCAGACATCAATTGATAACACTGCTTTAAAGCAAAAAAAAAAAAAACACTAAGAAATTCAGGTCTATGGGAGAGTTAGTATAGAGCTCCTGAGCTGAAAATTTATATTTTTAATTTCTTGTATGGGCAGGTTTTTTAGATAACGGCCCTTTGCGTTTTGTGGAGTGTACCTTGTTTGAAAGATCCGCTTTTAGTGACATACATACAACTTGTAAGTGTTGGACTAAAACTCGCTTTCAAAAAATAAAATTATTTTGCTCTTCTCTGACTACCGCGTACTGAAGAAAAAGGTGAGTATAAAACACCTTTGAACACAAATTCAGTGTAGAATGGGTCTTAACCAACGCTGGAAACGCATCCTAGAAATTTATATCGGCAACAAGAAAACTTCGGCAGGTTCCTACTTACCTGGAACAACCACATGCATGGTATTAAAGCTAAAGTTTATGGCATGCTACGGTCATTATGGGCCGCTCAATATTTCACACCAGTGAGAATTCGCCTACTTCTTGCTAAAACGTACCTGATATCCACACTTTTATACGG